TTAATTAATCACTCATCACTAATCAATTCTATAATATCCTAGATGTGCATTTAATTTGATATGAAAACATGTTTAAATGCTTATTAATCAAAATAAGTATCATTTTCATCACTAATTACTTTCGAAAGTTTAAAGTTTTATATCAACTCTTGATAGATTGGTTTAATTGTTGGATGTTTCTCTTAGAATTATTCACAAAGTATTCTATTGATATTTATAAACTCTCTATTGGTCACTTTCAATTATTTATCTGGGTCATAAAACTAAATTTATTAATTATTTTACTTACATTCAATACACTATCTATCATTTCTTTTAAATTTGCTTTTTTGTTAATGAAAACTCTTATAAAATGACAAAATTATTTATATGAAACTCTATCATCATTATTAAAAGGACTTAAATCAAAACTTAATAATAATCTATCACCTATTATTGGTTTCTTTAAACATTTGAAATTCTCTTTTAGAGATAGAATTGTCATTCCTTTAGTTTTATAAAGATGTAAAAAAGAATTAATTTTTGGACTGATCTATAAATAATAATAATTTACTCAAATTTATAAAATTTCATTGGTTATGGTAATTCTGTAATTTATGAAGAATTATCTTATGATTGAAATTATATCATAGATCTCTTTAATGATTCAACACTATTATTAACTTAGTTTTTTTGAAAAGTAAATTTAGGAATCAATTCACATTTTGAGCATTAAGATGGTTCTTAACCAATTGATTGTCTAGTCCATCTATTTAAAATATATTATTATGATGGAAATTTTATTTAAAGTGGATTTGTTGATCCTTCAACAATATATTTTTGTATATCTTATTTAAGAGTATCTTCCATGGATTTCATTTTTATTAATGTTTCTTAGGATTGTTCATTTTCCAATTATAACTTAGCTATATATATTGTTTCTAAACAACTTGATGGTCCTTAAGGCTTTCTTGCCTTTATGAGATGATCTGAAGTATAATTACTCCTCTTGATCTAAAGACTAAAACTCATAATATCAACAAATACTTATTCACATTTAATTTCTTATGCAATATATTTTTATCCCATATACCAATAATTTTACCTAATTTATATGTTCCTTCTAAATACTCCTCCACATTAATTTATCCAGGAGGTCTTTAATATTTGTAGTTCTTATAAGGTAAATTGAATAAGTTATAATATTCGGGAGGTCTTTCAGGTATATCTGCTTATGTTTTAGGTCTATCTTACAAAGTAAGAAGAACTTTTTTTTCTATTGTTTAATTAGCACTTTATTTTTTTATTGGACTGCTTTCAGATTTCCTTAATTTACAATCAGAACTTGATGGGAATCTCTATCTGGTTTTTAATATTCTCCTGAAATGATTATATTCTCCAGGCTAATTAAGGTGCAATCAATATGTTACTGTTTTACTTTATCTATTTGAATGTACTGTGCTTGGAGTTTACACAATTGCAATCATTCTTGTTAATAATTATTATTATCTCAACAAATTAAGTTTAACATAATTTGTATAAATTTAATTATGAATATTGTAAAGACAATTAGATAGGCATTCTAATTTACAAGAGTCAGATACTTTGTTTAATAAAAGGACCCAAGAATTAATGCTGATTATCTAGACTCTAAAGAAACTAAAATACCTAATATTTGTTCAAATCCAGAAAATATTAATGAAGAAGGTGAATATTGCAAAGTTACAATATAAGGAAAAGAAGTAAAATCATAAGAAAAGTAAATTTGATTTAATAATCACATAGATTAAGAATTAAAGCAAAACTTAAAAACTGTAAAGAAATTAATGGAGTCATTGCATATATTTGATGCTGATTATATAAAAAGTCATTAAACATACCCTTTATATAAATAGTTTAATTTTAATAACAATATTATTAAGAAGATCTATCTTTCATTTAAAATAATATAAGAATAATAATATAAAATTGCAATATATTAGTTTTGAATGATTTTATGAGAATTATTTAGTATTCTGTGTCTTTCCTTTGGTGATTCTTAAGTCTTTTATTATAAAAATCTTTCTAAACATATGACCATAACAAAATTATTTTTCACAAACTTAATTTTCTTTGATTATAAGTCTTCTTCTTCTATTAATTAAAATAACATCTAATACAATAGTTTTAAAAAATAAAGATTAAATCTTCAATTATATAATTAGACATGTTTCTTTGAGCTTTATTATAAAGTATATATATTGAGATAATTTTTTATTTAATATCCTAATAATCCCTTGATAATTAGGGTATTTAGAATTAGATAATAAACTTATAAACAAATTATTTGATTAATTTAAAATAAAAAAATGCAATAAAATAGTTATAGGGTGAATGCAGGAATTGGTGCCACTTACAATACTAATGTGGCGACTTCTTAAGTTTTGAAATAGATTGCACAAAATAAAGAATAGACATAGTAAAATAAATAAGCGTAGGATTAAGAATTAACAATGATAGCATAATAGACAGATCATCTAAGAAAAAGAATCTCAAATATTTTCAATTTACCAATTAAACTTAAAAAAACATAAAGTAATTAGCAATACTTAAAATAGACTTTATGATTGAAGATATTGGATTAAAGGTGGATTACCTCTTCAAAAAATCTCATCTAAATTAAAGTAATGTTGATTATATGAGTGATCATATTAAAAGGTTAGGAGATAGGATTAATTAGGAAATGAAAAAAAAATAAGAGCAATATCATTCTAGCATTAAAATTGATAATTTTCGAAATTTTTCATAAATTTAACAAGAGTTCTAAAAAAATAAATAAGTAAAATACTTCAAATAAATAAATTAGTTATATAGTTCATTTCATAAATCAGAATTAAAGACAGTCATAAGATAGAAGGAAAGATTAATAGATATCCTAACATCTTCAAATAGAACTGAAAAATTAGTATCACATGAAATTTAACTAAACTAATATAATGAAGCAATTCTAGAGAAATTATTTGTCGATAATCATTTATATTAAGTGCTGTTAAATTTTATCAAAAATAAGAATGATTTATCAATATTTGAAAAATTATTTAGAACTTTGGAGGTTTTTGAAACAACCCATAATGTGGAAATGAGATTATTAGCAGATTAGTTTTAGAATATATCTAATACATTAAATTAATAATAAAAATGGTATTATAAATTGTATTAAAAATATAGTGAGAAGATTATTCGCAATACAGTATCCCATTTAGAAAATGATATGCTCAAATAAGTTGGTCATTTAGATTTATAGAATTTAAATAGAAAATTTAAAGAATTTTATCTTCCTTATTTATAAACTACTGAATTATATTAAATAGGATAGTTTTTTCCTAGTGGAATACTCTTTTTATTAATGAGATGTGGAAAAGTTAATGAAGCATAAAAGATTCTTTCTGGATTGATATCAAGTGATTAAAGAATAGCTTAGTAATTTATAAGTTTTTTTGATTTATAAAAATAAGAAATTTTGAATTAAAATGATGTTGAAGAGAAATCAAGATAATAATGTTGTGATATATTATTACAATAATGTTATTGGTTATTATTAGATGTTAGTGATGCTTATGATGTATTTGAATAAACATAATTTCAAAAAGATAGAGATTTTTATATATGGTTAACATTAAAAACTACTCATTGTTCTGATGAATTTGTAGTATATGAAAGATCTGATCAAGAATCAAAAAAAGCTTTCTTTCATTGGAAACTTATAGATCTTCATGAAACTATACCATAATCATCAGTAAGTTTAAGAATCAATATAATTTTATAAAGATATGATTACATTTTAAGTGAATTGTATAAATACTAAAATCAATGTCTTTCATAAGTAGAATATTTTATATTAGATACAGTACTTACAGAATTAAATATGAAAACATAAAAAAATAGTTTTGCTGAAAAATAAAAAAAATCTGTTATAGATAACCTTGTTAATTACACATAAAATAAGCATCCTCTTATTTCTTGTTTAATAATGAGTGTTTGTTCCTATAATATTGAAGCTATTGCTAATTTATTATAAAAGTCTAATCATGTTACATAGGTTTTAAATGATAAAAATGTTAGAGAGAATTTAGAAATTATTTTTGGAAAAGAAGAATTACTTAATATTACAAATGAAATGATTAATTTATTTTTTGAAAAGAATTTACATAATTCATTAAAAGAATTATAATAACAATTAGAAAAATCATTTACAATGAATTAAATTAATGATTGTCATACAATTTTAATATTGAAATTAGATGAAATGAGTGTCTATTTGAAATAATTATTAAATTCAAATTCTGAAATACTTTTAGAAACAGCAATTTATTTATATCATGAAACATAATTAGTATTTATACTAAGTTGTTTAATTGTCAATTAATACTGTATTATAAAATTAGGATCTTAAATTGAAAAAAGACAATTATAAGCTAAAAATCTAGAAAACTTACATTCTAAAATAAAGAGTTGTGCAAAAGAATCTAAATTATTTAAATATTTTTATAGATTCTAATTGATTGAAATATTTTAATAAGCCTATTTGTCTATGAGATAAGAATCAGTTAATCTTAATGAAATAAATCAAATTCTATATAATATGAATATCAAAGAATTAACAAAAAGTTTAATTGAAAATAAATAGGTTCATTTTATTAAGATAGTATTTTGGTAGATATTATTATTGATTGAATAAAAAAAATGTCATGATAAATCTCATTTAATGTAAAAAATTATTATTTATTTATAGTGAAAAAATAAAAGAATTGAATGAAACATTATTAAAATTCCCAGAAAGTCAGGGAATTAAGATTTGCAGAGAAGATGTTCAATTTTCATAAATTATTGTTGATATTTTGAATTCTTATTCAAAAGTGTTAAAGATGTATTGAACTCTGTTCTTAATTTATTATAAATTAATTTTTTTTTGATTTTAATTATGTTAGATTAAGTTAGCAATCTATTGTAATTTATTAAATTTATAATTATTATAAGAGAGTATGCTATCAAAAAGGAAGGTTTCATCATAAAATCAAGAAGAATCATCTAACTCTATAGAATAATTATGCAATAAAATTCGAAAGGTGATAGTGAGTGAAGTTGGTGAAAAATATATCTAAAATCATTCTGAGAAAGGAGTTAAGAAAAAAAGAACTAAGCACAAATGTAAACGTTAAGATGAATAATAACTGATTGAATTAATCCAGAATGATCCTGTAGAAGTAGAAGAATAGCTTTCTTCAATTAAAGCGATATCTGAATCCCAATCATGGGTATTTGAAGAACTATTTGAGGAAATAAATAAGCTCAATACCCATTAAGAGATTGAATGAAGTTCTTTAATTAATTATGATTAAATATTTATTCTAATATATGGTGTTGTACATAGATATACGCTATACAAAAATTAAATTCATATACCTTCTAAGAGAATTCAACTATTAATGATTGAAAAACTTAATAGGATTCTTAGTATTATAAAATAAAGGATTAATTTGAACATGAGATAACATCCCAATTTGAATTAAATTTAATCAGATAATTCATAAATCATCTTAAAATTTAAATAATACAGTGAATTACAAATTTTGCTAATTTTTATTTTTTTAGATTGAATTTTAGAATAAGTTAATTGGTTTTAATAATATTTACAAATAGATTTCAAAATTATTATGATCCTTTTGATTAATTATTTAGGTAATACAATTTGAATCAAATTAAAAGTGATTTTAATTTAGTATAGGTACTTAATTATAAAAATAAAATTTGACTTAAATGAGGTTATTTTATTTGAATAGTTTTGAATAATTAAAATAAATTGAGGTATTAATTACTTTATTATTTTCTTTGATTTTATTTTATGAGAAATTAAGTAACACTTGATGTTTAAATATATTATGCAGAATTGAACATTTTTCATTATATATAAAATTCAAATATATTGTAAAATTTCAATATATACTATTATTATCTTTTATTAATTAAATGATATTAATTAAATTTCAAATAAAAATATATGTCAAGTGAAGAAGAAGTACTATTATCTAGTTTATTCTTTTAGAAAATGAAATAATTGTAAGCACTTCCAATTAGAAATTACTTGGATTAAACTGTAGTACCACTTCTATTACAGGCCATGACTGAAGTAGCTAAAGTGAGGTGAGTTTTTCTTAAATATTAAGACCACCTAATCCAATTGAATTTATAGCTAACTATTTGCTCTAGAATAACCCAGAAAAAGCACAAGCAAGATAATAATGAGTGCTATTGAACTGAAACTGATTTTATATAAACAAAATAAATAAATACTATGATTTTAATTATAAAGACTATTTCTTAATCCCTAAGTTTATTTGCAGTAGTTCATACATATAATATTATTTTTTTCATGATTTTCATCAATTTCATATAAATATTTATAAACCATTTAGAGTTTAATACAAGAATAAAATTGGAATAAGTTTTAAAAATTTCAAAACTATTTTCTAATTTGAGTTTATAAACAAATCATAAAATTTATTATATCATTTGTTTTTGCATTAAATGAAAAGTTATCATAAGTATTTACTTTAATCTAGTATTATAAAATATATTTACATGTAAAATTAAGAACAATTATAAAATATAATAATTTAAATATATTAATTTTATGTTCTTGATCCCTAGAGAAATATTGATTTTATTCTAAATAGCAACTAATTTAGATGAATATATTTACATAAGAAATTTTAAATAGATTCAAAACATAATATATCAATACCCATAAGACTATTTATATTAAAATAGATAAACCATAGTGTTAATTAGATTAAAGAAAAGTTGTAAAAAATAAATTATAATCTCTTTTGCTCTATAAATTATTATTTTATTGATTTTAAAATATAATTTACAGCGTTTAAGGTGTAACTTACTTTAGAATAGAAAAAATAAATTTTGTAGATATTCTAAACAATCTTTTTTAGTGTATAAAATTATCCTATTACATAAATTGAGTTAATTAATATTTCTATGAAACTTATAATAAGCAGAAAACTTTAATAACGATAAACTTATAAAATAATAATGATGGATGATTATAATGATAAAATTAAAATAATGCAGTCATGAAAAATATATATTACTTGAAAAGAATCATCGAATCAGCAAATATATGATTAAGGACTTTAACTTGAAAAAATGAATCAATAATAGTAAAGGTTAAGAGGATTTAACAATGATCTCAATGTGCAAATTTTATATTGGAATCAGAAAGGAAACAATATAAATTGATGACTAGTAACACTAAAGATGTGATAGATTATATTAACAATCAAATTCATGTTTTATGATATTCACAGATAATAATAATTATAATACTACATTATTTAGAGAAAAGCAGAATGAAATGGATTAGTAAACTAATAATAAATTAATCTTAATTTTATTCGTATCAATATAATAATTAAAATGAACAGATTGCAGGATTTTGTATAAAGTGAAGAGAAATATTCGATATTAGAAAAAGTAGGAGAATGAACCTATTGATTAATTAAATATGCTAAAGATATTAAAGTTGTAGAAATAGTTTTATTAAAGAAGACACTAATAGATCATGAAGATCAAGGAGTTCCATAAACTACCATAAGAGAAATTACATTATTAAAGAAGTAAGAAATTATAGAAATAATAATTCCAACATCCTTATATTGCTCCTCTAAAAGATGTTGTTTATGATTAATCTAGATTGTATTTAATCTTTAACTCTGTGGATTAAGACTTTAAAAATACATGGAAAGTGTAACTTAATTTCATAGAATGAAAGTGAAGAAATTCATTTTCTACAAAATTATTACCATTAAATAGAGTTATTCATAGAAATTTAAAGCCTTTAAATATTTAGGTAGACATAAAACAGCAAAACACTAAAAATTGAAGATTTTAGATTAGCAAGAGCATTTAAAGATTAAGAAATTGATTATTTATTCAAGATATTTAAGATCATGGAAACTCCAAAAGAATTCACATAGCCATGTGTTAGTACTTTACCGTTATTTAAGAATACTTTTCCAAAATGACCAACTTAGGTTAACCCAGCTGCTACTTAAGGGAAAGATATTACAAATTTATGTTCTTTTGAACTAGATTTGCATTTAAGACCATTGTTTATGATCCATATGCAAGAATTATAGCAGTAGAAGCCTTAAAGCATTCTTATTTTGACGATTTAAATAACTGATATGAAATTTTATTATAATAATATTAATGAGTAAATTATCGTAGGTTTTGAAATCTCACACAGATGTCAATGGTGTCACCCTTTTTGATCATATCAATAGCTTCATTAATGAAGTCTTGTAAAGCAATCATAAGGATATGAACTCAATCGAACTCTTATCAGATTTTACAAAAAAAAATAGATTTCTTTTCAAAAAATTGTCATCTGAAAGTGAAGTAAATAATCTTAAAGATAAAATCCCTGAATTTGCTGATTGGGTAAAGAGAGTTTCACAATTACTAAAAGTATAATGGCTATTGAATTGTAGGGTTAAACAGTTGCATAAATGCCTACTATTTTATAAGACTTTGTTGCATCTGCAAGATTGTTGGAAGCTGCAGGTTATGGTTTTGGAGAGGAAGAAACCTACTAGATCCAATTAAGTATAAAATAATTAAGTGTAAATATGAATATCTATTTTCAGATTGAAACAAATGCAACTGAAATGACATTTTTTGGAAAAATACTTTGTAGAAATTCTGATTATTATGTTGCCAGAGGTGTAGTACCTAAACTACCTACAGATTATTTAGCACCAAATGCTGAACCTAGAGGAGATGGTGTAAATTATTATACATTCTGGGTTACTAATGATAGTATTTCATATATTAATCAATAGTATTGACTGATTGGAATGAGTTACCACTAGTAACACCAGAATAAATTAAAGTAGCTAGAGAAATTAAATATGTTTGTACAGGAAATTTGAATCAAGAATTAAAAACTTATCCTCCTTTTCCTGGAAAAGAAAAGCATTATTTAAAAGCATAATTAGTAAGGATTTTACATTCTAATTTAATTGCACCAAAAGGACTTTATCAATAAAAAGAGGATAATCGTAAATTAATAAAATTATTTATTTAGCAAAGGAATTGGAATTTGTAGAAGAATTCAAAATCCCTGAATTTGCTGAATTGTAAAATCCAGATAGTTGGGTTCATGTTCCTGCATAAATTTTAAAATAAGGAAGAATAACATTATATACAGATGGATTATCTGAAGAAGCTAAAAATGCTTTACTTGAAGCTAATCCAGATCTTGATAGTGAAACAACAAGATTAAAAGGTATTGCTGAAGATCGTCCACTTGAACCATTTTATTAAACAAATTGGTTAATTAAAACTGTTGGAGATTAAATGATATATAATCCTAAAGATGATAATTCTGGAAANAAGCATTCTTATTTTGACGATTTAAATAACTGATATGAAATTTTATTATAATAATATTAATGAGTAAATTATCGTAGGTTTTGAAATCTCACACAGATGTCAATGGTGTCACCCTTTTTGATCATATCAATAGCTTCATTAATGAAGTCTTGTAAAGCAATCATAAGGATATGAACTCAATCGAACTCTTATCAGATTTTACAAAAAAAAATAGATTTCTTTTCAAAAAATTGTCATCTGAAAGTGAAGTAAATAATCTTAAAGATAAAATCCCTGAATTTGCTGATTGGGTAAAGAGAGTTTCACAATTACTAAAAGTATAATGGCTATTGAATTGTAGGGTTAAACAGTTGCATAAATGCCTACTATTTTATAAGACTTTGTTGCATCTGCAAGATTGTTGGAAGCTGCAGGTTATGGTTTTGGAGAGGAAGAAACCTACTAGATCCAATTAAGTATAAAATAATTAAGTGTAAATATGAATATCTATTTTCAGATTGAAACAAATGCAACTGAAATGACATTTTTTGGAAAAATACTTTGTAGAAATTCTGATTATTATGTTGCCAGAGGTGTAGTACCTAAACTACCTACAGATTATTTAGCACCAAATGCTGAACCTAGAGGAGATGGTGTAAATTATTATACATTCTGGGTTACTAATGATAGTATTTCATATATTAATCAATAGTATTGACTGATTGGAATGAGTTACCACTAGTAACACCAGAATAAATTAAAGTAGCTAGAGAAATTAAATATGTTTGTACAGGAAATTTGAATCAAGAATTAAAAACTTATCCTCCTTTTCCTGGAAAAGAAAAGCATTATTTAAAAGCATAATTAGTAAGGATTTTACATTCTAATTTAATTGCACCAAAAGGACTTTATCAATAAAAAGAGGATAATCGTAAATTAATAAAATTATTTATTTAGCAAAGGAATTGGAATTTGTAGAAGAATTCAAAATCCCTGAATTTGCTGAATTGTAAAATCCAGATAGTTGGGTTCATGTTCCTGCATAAATTTTAAAATAAGGAAGAATAACATTATATACAGATGGATTATCTGAAGAAGCTAAAAATGCTTTACTTGAGGCTAATCCAGATCTTGATAGTGAAACAACAAGATTAAAAGGTATTGCTGAAGATCGTCCCCTTGAACCATTTTATTAAACAAATTGGTTAATTAAAACTGTTGGAGATTAAATGATATATAATCCTAAAGATGATAATTCTGGTAATAATGTATATGCAACTGTAATACTTAAAAACTACACTTGGAGTGGGGCTGTTACAGTAGCCAATGTATATTTTAACATAAACTAATTTAGTAAAATTAATGGGCATTTTTCTATGTTGGTTATGGATTTAAAGATACTCAAGCAGCTTATGTGCCTATATAAAATAATGACTTATAATTGGAACCAGAAGATAAATCAGAATTCCCTGAACCAAATCCTAAAAATGCACCTAAACCCCCTGAACCAGAAAAAGTTGAAGGTCAAGAAGGTTAAGATGGATAAGAATAGCAAGCAGATCCAGATGATTAATGATTTAAAATTATGGCAATTAAATATCAATACAATTCTGCTAATTTATCAATAGTTTATTAATTATTATTTTCATTTTTTGACTTTTTTTATTCCAAAATTGTTTTGTAATTAATTTTTACTTTTTTGATTTACTATATGCTGAATATCATAAGTCGTTATACTTTTTTTCAGATTTAAATGGATTAAAGTATAAAAATTTAATTTCTATTCAATATTATAAAAGTAATATTCTTTTCTTTTCAAGTCTATAATTTAATAACAAATTACATTACTTCTTTATTTATTTATATATAGAATAATAAGAGTATATGATTTGTATAGTTTAACATATTCATTATTATAAAAATTATTATTAATTTAGGAAACAACTTTACAAATTTAAGAATCGGTTGAAACAGTATTCAAAGTTAATAATTAGATAGACTTTTTAAATTTACCATTAAGTATAAAATCAATTACATATAAATGATCACAAAACCTCCAATGGGATACCATGTTATCTTTCTAAGTAATCCATAACAGGAGTTGTTAGTAATGCTTAGAACATGAATTAACAAAATCTCATCTACCAACCAGCATAAAAACCAGTTATTCCCTTTTCTAAATACACTTTTTTAAATGCATTCCAAATTGATAGATGTTTTATTTAATGATTATTTTCCATTTAAAATTATGTTTTAATCATATCAAACGGTTACACAATGATAATATTGGGAATTGCAGTAAAAATAGAACATAGGACAATCTCCTAAACTGTCAATTTTTATGATGGACGCTCTTTGAAATAATATCTAACCCTATGATCCCAATATAAATAATTTGTCCAAGAAACAACTTATTTGAGAATCATGACTTCCATACCAGTAAACAAATCTCTAGTAAATCCTTTGATTCCTCCATCATGTTCCCACATATATTTTAAAACTAAGAATATTTCTTAAATGTACTACCTGATTTTGATTATTATTAAGTCATTAATTAGCATTTAACTCTTTCAAATGGACAAGTTACAAGGGACTCAAACAAAGCAATAGTTATTCCTGCTAATCCTTTATGAAGTGCAGGAGCAGACTCTTTAATCTTTGTAGGTAAAACTTCCATATAAAATTTTGGAATAAAAATCATCATAGGCCATCTAAATATACTTAAAAATTTACCTATAGTATTATTTAAATAATTAAATGCTTATTTATGATGAGAACCCTGCAAATATTCCACGAAATATTCCATTCCGATAGTAACTTTCAAGAAATAGCTATAATTTCTCTAAATGTTTACTTGTTTGAAATTGCTATTTTAAGAAGCCTAGATCAAAGTTTTAAAGCGATCAAAGAAATGATCCATAGGTAATCCTAAGATTGCTCTTGACACTCCAATTAGTTGAGTCTCCACAATTGGTTTCAATAATTCTTTGCCCTTATAAATCCATTAAGTTGTTTCAGACATATTATTTAAACCATTTAATCATTATAAAATTACAGCTTATACTCAACTAAGTGCGTATTAAATTAGATAATATGGGTGGATGTTGTAAATTTAATTAAAAACATGATGCATTATTTAATTATAAATTAATGGCAAAATTTTCATAACTTATCAATATAGTATACAATCTCATAATTGATTCATAAAGTATTCTAAAATAGATAAAAGATATTGAAATTTCAAACTTTATGATTCTTTTTATTATGGATAGCTTGCTTATTTAATAAATTATATAATTCTAGAATTTTAGTTTTTTCAGAATTTTTATATCAATTATACTAATGAGTAACAAATTTATAATTTACTTATAAATTAGATAAAAACATTGAGCAATTTAAGATTTCTTTAGTTAAAGGAGTTTCTAGTTTTCATAAATCTATTTTTAGAAATTTCAATATTTATCTTCATATAATTAGCTCCAATTTCTAGATTATATCATTAAACTTATTATTGTTGCCAATAATGTAAACTATAATAATTTAAAATTTTAGTAAATTATAAATTATTAAAAAATGTTATTAAGTAATTGATAACCTCAAAAATTATCTAATTTTGAAATTCTGAACCATTTAACTTATAGAATGATATATTACAGTAATCATATATATTTAAAAAATCAAAAACTAAAAAAATAAAAAAATAAAAATATGATCATTGAAATTTATATAAATAAATTAATAATTAATAGATGTCTTAGTAACAAGACCCACCAAGTGCAAAGAAAAGAATTAGAAGATGCACTAAACATGATGAAACCCCTCGTCCCTATAAATGTGGTTGTGGGCGTGGTTACTACAGCTATCCAGCATTGTACACTCATTTGAAGTAATTATATACATATCTCAAAATAGGATTAAGCATGAAGGGCAGCCTCCTACAGGGACTTAAATACCAAGTGATAAGCACTATGGAAGTAGGGGAAGACCAAGAGAGAAAAATTTTAACTTCGAAGAAGAAAGCAAGCATCAAGTCTTTATTGATGAAGATAAGAGGGAAGACAATCAGAAAGATGAGAAAGTCACAATCAATTAATGAAAATAGAAGAAAGCAAAGGGCTTTTTTCTTTTATTAATAATTTATATCTAATACTTATTAATAAACTCTTTCTATAAATGAATTGGAAACAAGTTTATGCTTTCTCCGAACATAGAACTAAAAGAAGTATTTTGTATTATTCTATTTAGTATTATCTGGAAATGCAAAGTTTAAAGAACATAAATCTAATATTCATAGTCCAAGAAGTAATTCTTTCTTTAACATTATAGATAGTCAACATTCTCATAAGGATACCATGGTTGGACTTTAGAGGATTTCAAAAGAGATTGTAGAAAGTCTAACAAAAGCTTTAACTCCAAATTGCAGAGTTCGTTAGAATTCTCCAAAGCAAATACTCTAAGAGTAAGAACAGAAATAAATACTAAAACCCTACAAGGAACCTGAAATTATGAGATAACCTTTGGAATAATTAGAAAATGTAAAGCCAAATAAAGAAATAGAAAATGTAGAGTACATTAACTTTACAAAATTGGCTGTAAAATATTCAATCAAATATTATAGAGGAAGATATCTCAATAACCAATTAAAGAAATCAAAATTTAAAAAAATGAGTAAAAAATAACAAGATAGAGATCTTAGGATTTCCATTCAAAATAAGAAGAATGGTTAAGAAAAAAGAATGATAAAGTATTGAAATAAAGAATGGAATAATAATGTTTATAATAAAGGAAGGAAAATCGACTCAGCTTTCTAGAAAAATCCTAGACGGATAGATTTTAATGATTATATATTATTTTACCTTACTTCACTATTATTTCTAATTATTATCAATTTTTTATTTTAAATTTAAAGAAAAATATGAACAGATATCTTTAAGATCATGTATTGTGTATTTAATGTACTAAAACATACAACATATATGTATCATTTTTTGATTTATTTGACAATTTTCACTTCTTCAACCAAAAATGCTCTAATTATTCTGTTTTTTAAAGCACCAGCACTTAAAACACCACCATATGGTCTTGAAACTGTTCTTTGTCTTCTTGAAAGTTGCTTAAGCTTAGTTGGTCTAATTCTTTTAAGCCCATTAAGAACCACATTCAAATTTGAGTCAGCACAGGTTGATGCACTTGTCTTTTTATTTGGATATTGGACAACAACATTACCGCCTATATGATACTCATATCAATATACCTGGTGTCTTAACCTTTCTAATTTTATTAGATCTTGTGTTGTATGATGTTCTTCTTCTATATGTCACTCTAACACCCATAATTTAATATCTTTTATTTAATTATATGAATTTATTGTCTGAAAAAAATTATGTATTATTAATAGCTTATTAATATATTTGATTTGAAGTATTATAAACAATAAGCTTAAACTTATGAGTTTCATACAATCACTAATAGAACAAATATATATAATTTATGAACCAATATAAGTAGCAATTCTATGTTATATTTATTCAATTTAATTTAGATTTAAAAGAATTCAAAAATGTAGCTAAAATATGAATATAGCATACTAGAAAAGAATTATAAATAACAATGTTTTAAAATTAAAATTTGAAAAAATAGTGTAAAGAAACTTTAATAATTATATAATTAAAAGTCTTAACTTTCTTAAAGTTTGAAGATTAATGAAAACTTTAGTACAGCATACTATTTCATAATAAAAAATAGGTTATGTAAATTGAAATTAAAACAAAAATATATTAACATAAAATATTTACTTTATGTAACTCTATAATGCTACAAAAATAGTTTATAAATTAAATCTATTAATACTATTTAATCCTCAGGTCTCTTATGTAATTANAAATATTATAGAGGAAGATATCTCAATAACCAATTAAAGAAATCAAAATTTAAAAAAATGAGTAAAAAATAACAAGATAGAGATCTTAGGATTTCCATTCAAAATAAGAAGAATGGTTAAGAAAAAAGAATGATAAAGTATTGAAATAAAGAATGGAATAATAATGTTTATAATAAAGGAAGGAAAATCGACTCAGCTTTCTAGAAAAATCCTAGACGGATAGATTTTAATGATTATATATTATTTTACCTTACTTCACTATTATTTCTAATTATTATCAATTTTTTATTTTAAATTTAAAGAAAAATATGAACAGATATCTTTAAGATCATGTATTGTGTATTTAATGTACTAAAACATACAACATATATGTATCATTTTTTGATTTATTTGACAATTTTCACTTCTTCAACCAAAAATGCTCTAATTATTCTGTTTTTTAAAGCACCAGCACTTAAAACACCACCATATGGTCTTGAAACTGTTCTTTGTCTTCTTGAAAGTTGCTTAAGCTTAGTTGGTCTAATTCTTTTAAGCCCATTAAGAACCACATTCAAATTTGAGTCAGCACAGGTTGATGCACTTGTCTTTTTATTTGGATATTGGACAACAACATTACCGCCTATATGATACTCATATCAATATACCTGGTGTCTTAACCTTTCTAATTTTATTAGATCTTGTGTTGTATGATGTTCTTCTTCTATATGTCACTCTAACACCCATAATTTAATATCTTTTATTTAATTATATGAATTTATTGTCTGAAAAAAATTATGTATTATTAATAGCTTATTAATATATTTGATTTGAAGTATTATAAACAATAAGCTTAAACTTATGAGTTTCATACAATCACTAATAGAACAAATATATATAATTTATGAACCAATATAAGTAGCAATTCTATGTTATATTTATTCAATTTAATTTAGATTTAAAAGAATTCAAAAATGTAGCTAAAATATGAATATAGCATACTAGAAAAGAATTATAAATAACAATGTTTTAAAATTAAAATTTGAAAAAATAGTGTAAAGAAACTTTAATAATTATATAATTAAAAGTCTTAACTTTCTTAAAGTTTGAAGATTAATGAAAACTTTAGTACAGCATACTATTTCATAATAAAAAATAGGTTATGTAAATTGAAATTAAAACAAAAATATATTAACATAAAATATTTACTTTATGTAACTCTATAATGCTACAAAAATAGTTTATAAATTAAATCTATTAATACTATTTAATCCTCAGGTCTCTTATGTAATTATTTTAATATATTAAATTTATTTATCTCTAATATTCTTCTTCATAATTGTTGAAAGAAGATATTTTTCCAATATCATTTTTTAAATGTCTTAGTTAACAAAATATAATGTATTCTTTATATTTTAATAGATTTTTTTCCATTTGAAATCAAAGACAACAAACTTCTAAATTGTATTTTATTCTTTTCTAATTAAATAATAAAAATAAGTTTATTGATGGGTCCTAAGTCTTCCAAAGATAAACCATAAGAACATTAAAAATAGCCACCTAAACAAGTTTAAATAAAATAATAAAATGTTAAAAAGAAGCCAAGTTAAGTTGATGAAGATGTAATCCACATATTTTTTAATGTTAGATATGGATGTATGATTTGATTTTGTAATATTTGGCTTCACCTATATGGAGAAACCCAATATCTGATTTTTTGGATGAAAACTGCATAATTTTTGATGATGAAGAAGAGAACAAGATTGTATATTAAGAAATACATAAGGTGAGAATTATATTTAAATCTAGAAATTTAAAAGTATGATAGAAGCTATGATTGAATAATTAATGGTTGACATAGGTGTTGAAGATGAAGAACAATTAAGGAAGGTTATTGAAATAGGATTGAAAAATAAAAAACATAAAAAGTACTTTGAACAACTGCTGATTGTTGAAAATTTCTTAGTCTTTAAGAAGTTGATGTTGAAAAGAAACAAGGAATTAGAATATGAAGCCTTAAAAGAATTATAAAAAATAGATGTAAAGATATATCTTACAGAAGGGCGGAAAAAATCCTGAAATGGATATGAAAGTTAAATAGGCTGAACTTGAAAAAGAAAGAATGGAAATTGAACATGCTGTTGCAATGTCTATTGCTGTAGAAAATGAAAAGGCTAAAATTTAAATTTAAGAAGAAGAAGAATTTATTGAAGCAATTAGATAAAGTTAAATATCATATTAAAGATAGTGTATCTATATTCTAATATCATATTTAGAAGAGGAAATTTTATTAAGTCAAGTATAATAGTAACCAACAGTTGTTAATCACTAAGCTCCTATTTAAAACCCATAAATTTAGCCTTAACCTGATTAAAAACCAGAATCAGTTTTGATTTTTGAAGATGATGTTCCAAAAGAAAAAGAATAGGCACCATAACAATAGCAATAAGTAAAATAAAAAGAAAAGACTGAACCTTAATAAATAAAATAAAAAGAGCCTCTTCCATAGATAGTATAATAAAAAGTTGAGGTTATGTCTTTAGCTTAAGAAAGAGAAGCCTTGTTAGCTTAAGGAAATTAATTAAAAGAAAATTTAAAAGAAATTGTAAAATATATTATTCTTATAATTAGGAAGAAACATTTAAATAAAATATTAAAAATTAATAAGATTAAGAAACTTTAGAATAAAGAAAATAAAGATTATAATAATAAAGAGAATTAATTAAGTAAAAAAAGATTAAAGAGAGATAAGATGAATTAAAGAAATACTAAGAAGTATATAAATTAATATATAAATTAGGGAGAATAACAAGAATAAAAACCTGAATAATAGGAAAAAGGTCCTTTAGTTGTGGATATGGTAAATAAATTGATAATAAATATATTTAGACTGAATTTATTGCAGACCAAAAGAGATCATAAGAATTAGAGTTGAAGAAATAAGAATTAAAAAAGAGAGCAGAATTGTTAAAGAAAATAAAATAGGATGCATTACAAGAGTAAGGATGAAATAATAATTATATAATATTATGTAATATTATTCATTTATTCTTTTCAATCCTTTAGTATAACGGAGTATAAGATACATTATTAATTTAGCTAGTTTAATGTTTTTGTTTTAATATAAAAACTTAGAATATTTTTGAATCATTTATTATGTGATTTTAAATTTATGATAACTTTTATGTTATATTCATGAGGAAAAAACTCTTAATTTCTATATTAGAATTGAACATTACAATTATTTGATAATAAAGTAAGAATATAGTTGTATTAATTTTTAATTTCAATTTTTTATTTTTAAATGTTATCTACTAAATCAGAATTAAAAATGTGATTACTCTTTTTAAAATAAAGATTTTATTAAAATTAGATTGAGGAATGTAATATCAATTAAAAATTCTTGAATATATATAATTCTATATTATTATTCTTAATTAAATTTGACTATTATTTAAAATAGAGATAATTTTTTTTTTACATTTCAATTAATTAATAACAATGTTTAATTTTAATATTAAAGAATAATATTGTATAATTATTTATATATTCCATTATCTTTTGATAAAAATAACATTCAATGAAGATAATGCTCGTATCTTTAAACATTTCTTCTTAGAATTTACTCCAATGGACCCATCATTCTTGTAAATGATTTAAAATCACAATAATATAAAGTACAATCTGTCTATAAATATTAATTTATTTAGAATTACTATTGCTATAATAGATGCCTATCTAGGAGTGTTTTTTAATAATGCTAATTCTCCAAAATAATCTCCTGATTTGTAGGCATAAACTTTTTCTAATTAACCATCTTTATAAGCTTCTAATTCTCCTTCAGCAATTAAATAAATTGTATCTCCTTACTCTCCCTATTAAATTATAATAATATTATAACTTATTTAATAACTTTGTCTCCTCTATTATATTTAACTTCTCTCAAAACATCACAAAACTATAATCTCTCATAAGTATCCATAGACTATAAAATTTCAATTTTATTTAAAATTTATTCCATCTATTCTCTCTTTCTAATAGCTGCATCTTTCACAATATTATTAAAAGTTGCTCTATCTAAAGCAAAAGCTACTACAGATTATATTGCTTTAATAGTAGCAGCACGAGGTACATTATACAATAAAGCAAGTTCACCAAAAGATTCTCCAGGTAAATACTTTTTTAAGAATTTTTCTTAAGATTGATTTGGAAATTTCTTTGTACATTCTAATTCTCCCTCATCAATTACATATAATTCATTTCCATCATCTCCTTAACGAATAACGTAATCACCAGGCCTAACAAATTTTGTAAAATTCATATAATTACTAAAACTTTTTCTCTTCCATTGCATCTATAACAGTTTATAGATTTTATTCATCTAATGCTTAAAATAGAAATGAATTTAAAATCTTTCTTCTTATTCTATCAATTTAATCTTTATTTTTTTCAATAACCCTTGGTTTAAAATCCTCTTTTTTATTAAAT